ACAGCAGGGTCCAGGGCAGCTTATTTTGCCATACAGCAGGGTCCAGGGCAGCTTATTTTGACCGCAAGTTCGTAAAGTGACTGATGCTTTGGGGTGTAGGAGCCTATACAATTGTTATTAATAGATCTACAGCTTGTTGAGCTGATTGAATCGGAAATTGTGTACGTATATATATATTGTGTACGTATATATATATTGTGTACGTATATATAAAAATATATATATTGTGTACGTATATATAAAAATGGTCTCAATCTTGAAAATCCGATTACAAACAATTCTGTAGACCCTTATACAAAATTGTGCAAACAAAGATTGATTTTATTTTACCAAATTTACTCACTCCAGTTAGAAACTTTCGGAGCCTTTAAAATTGTTATTTTTAGATTTGCAAGCCTAAAATTGGACTCATTACGTTGAAAACTGTACAAAGATTTTAAAAATGGTCTCAATCTTGAAAATCCGATTACAAACAAGTCTGTTGACCCTTATTGTCTTTTTGAGACACGGCCTGTATATAATTTTATTTATTTTAAATCTCTGTTTGTCTGTCTTTGTTTGTGTCCGATCATAACTCGAGAATTTGCCTCTAATTTGATTGACGAAAATGTTTGAACTACAAAAATGTTCTTAGTTTGGTTTAAAAGGAATTGAGTTTTTGCCACAAGCTCAATTTTTTGAATTCCTATATGTTCGCAAACTTTTGAAATTTCAAACTTAGATTTTTTATTGTAACAGAAAATAAAGTTTGAAATATCGAAGGGTTACGACATTGGGTTGCAAAGATATAGTGATTTGAAAATTTGAGTTTATGACAATGACACAACTCTTTTATAAGTTGAGAGGGTTGACTTTTATGGAGAAAATTTAGATCCTGGCAAATCCGGGTTTCTACAGAGTTTTTAAATTAAAGTTTGAGTCAAATCGGTCAAGGGGTAAATAAATAATGATCATGACATGTATTTTGCTGGCCTGTTTGTATCCAATAAATAAATCCACAATTAAGAAGGTTCATTGCCGATCAGAATTTAAAAGTTGGCCAAAAAACTAATTTGGTTTGGAAAATATTTCGGCACTCCGCCATTGAAAACAGAAAAATCCGCAATTTTTTTTTGTACTAATGGACAGGGGGTAGGTTACCACAAAAGTAAACTTAAAGGGTCTGAAAGTTTAGTTTTAAGTGACATGGCAATGCAAAGAAGTCCGATTGACAATAATACCTTTAAAAGATTTGTCTAAAGAAGTATGAATTAGATGGATCAAGTTCTCAAACCTTGAAATAAATGTTTCATGAGAAAAAATTAAAAGAAAGAAAACGTAGAATTTGCTGTTTTTATATTTTTAGGCGCGCCACACAACGAGGTCCAGATGAAGTGTGCAAGAGAGAGGGAAAATGCGCGATAACTCCAGCTGATAGAAAACATTGTACAGCTTGTAGGTAAACATTGTACAGAAGAGAAACATTGTACAGCAGGTAAACATTGTAAAGTAGATAAACATCGTACAGTAGATAATAATTGGATAGCAGATAAACATTGCACATTTACAGTAGGTATACATTGAACAGTAGATACACATTGTATAGTAGATAACATTGTACAGTAAGTAAAACATTGTACAGGAGGTAAGGATTGTATAGTAGATAAACATTGTACAGTAGGTAAAAATTGTTAAGTAGGTAAACATTGTACAGTGGATAAACATTGCACAGTAGGTAAAAATATTGTACAGTAGGTAAAAATTGTTCAGTAGATATACATTGTACAGTAGATACACGTTGTACAGTAGGAAAACATTGTACAATAGGAAAACATTGTACAGTAGGAAAACAGAGTACTGTAAGAAGAAATTGTACATTAAGTTACAAGTTGTAAAGTGAATACACGTTTTACAGCTTATACATATGTATGTACAGATTCTTGCTTTCTGATTGTTAAATTTAAATCTTTTACGATGTCACTTGTGAAAACCAAAAATTGGAAGAAATAGAATTTCTGATTGTAGTACATTGGGATTATATAAATATAGAATAGGGAGACGACTGTTAGAATCAAGTTTTAATATTCCAAAGATTGCATAAATGTCATCTTTCTATTCTACAGTTTTGTAGGTTCTACTGTGAATAATCTCACAAATAAATTTTGAAAAAAGTGAAAAATGAAAGGATTAAAATCCACTAAATACTGTATATTACTATATTACATTTGTTAAGGTATAATAAATGTCTGAGTATAGGAATGCGACCAACATTTATCCTAAATGAAGCTGAAAAGAAGGTGAAAATTTATTTTTATTATTTTGAAATATTTAAGGTTCCGCAAAGGAATTGAGTTTTTACCACAAACTCATATTTTCTGATTCTACTATTTTTGCAACCTATAATGGTGTAAAAAAATGAAATCTAAAAACAAATGAATAAAAAAATAAAATGAAGATGTAATTCTTCTTGGAGCTATATATTATACCTTTAAATGAAAACTAAGAATTCAGGAGTGAATTATTTTCAATTTGTTACCCTTATCGCAGACAATGTAGTTCACACAAAAAAATACTAAACATGTTTGGTTAGTAACAGAAGAAAAAATACTAAACATTTTTGGTTAGGAACAGGAGAAAAAATACTAAACATGTGTGGTTAGGAACAGGAGAAAAAATACTAAACATGTGTGGTTAGGAACAGAAGAAAAAATACTAAACATGTTTGGTTAGGAACAGAAGAAAAAATACTAAACATGTTTGGTTATGGAACAGAAGAAAAAATACAAAAGCAAGTTACTCCAGAGATCTTTAAAGGAAGGGTTTCATTTTAAGACTAAAATCATGCTTCACAGAAGAGTTTTCATATTTTTTATCTATATATAAATTTAACTTGTCTGGGTATCTGTTATTTTTTGTCTGTTTGTTTGTATCCAATAAACGTCAACCGGCTGAACCGATCGGGCCCAAATTTTGTGTGTGACCTCACGTGAACCCATGGAAGGTTTATGAATGATCAAAATTTTTAAAAAAATTGTGTTTAAAAGTTTTTTATTTTTGTAAAATTTTGAAAATGCGCAAATAAAATATTATGAAATCCGCAAACTTTTTTGTTTTTGTTTTATACTGTACAAAGAGATGCTCACAGATAAAGTCATAATTAAAAGTTGAATTAAAAGATGGGCACGAAGCGCCCTAAAAGCCTATTACTTTTATATTTTGTAAAGTGTTATTTAAGCCTGGGCAACGCAAAAGCTAGATTATATCATAAAGTTTGAATTCACGTGATATTTATATTTTTTTTTTATTTCAGACCAGATTTCGAAAACTTTTAGAGAAAAAAGAAACAACGGTTTCTCCGCCATCTGCAGGTAAATCCTTTTGCGTGTATTTACATTGTTTCTTGATTTTTTTTTCAAATATTTAATCTACAGGGTGTCCCAAAAAACATGGGAATTCAGTGACGAATTCGATATCGTCTTTGTTATGAATTAGCATTGTAATACCTAATTTCAAAAGCCAAAATATTATTATGTCTGCTAGCGTTTATTTTATGAAAAGGGTAAAAGACTGTTCAGATGTGTCTATAATGTCTCCGCATAATGAACAGTGAAGACTGACAAGCTTTACTCTGTTCGTATACTGCAATTTTCTTGTTTTATAAAGTAAAACCGTATGCAGTCAAAACATAAACAAACAAAATGTGAACATAGAGACGAAACTCTTACAGATTACAGCTTTCTCAGTAGGTATCACTATACCAAATCAAAGAATTATTTTAAAAGACGATATCGAATTGGTCACTGAATTCCCATGTTTATTGGGACACCCTGTATGTAACAATTCTTCTTTGAATCATATTAAACCACTTTTTTTAGAAAGTTATCTAAACATTGGCATTATTGATGGATGCAGTTAAAAGTTTATCCTTATTTCCACTAATCAAATGTACCAGAAGCTTTAGTTTCTTTTTAAAGAAATATGAACATTTAAAATCTATTTTTAAACTGAAAATCACCAGGAATAAAAAGTCGTCTTTTAAGGAACTGTTAGCGTAATTTCAAGTGACCCTCCTTGCAAGGATGGCAATGTCCTATTTACAAAGATACCCTCGAAAGCTTTGGCTGATTAAGTATGAATTAGATATCCATTTTTTTGTCTCTCTAAACTTTTTATTTTATTTTATTTACTTACTGCGAAAGTGAATTCGCATTCCTTGATTATAAAAAGAAATAATTACTTTTTGTGTGTGTCTTTCACTTTTTTGATCAGAAAAGGTAGGGTACCTTTGGGAATCGGGAATTGCCATCTTTGCATGGAGCCTCCCTTTAAATTACGCGTACAGTCCCTTTGAGGACTTAGGAAAAAACATGTTTAGGTCCAGGCATAACTCCGAGCACCACAAGGAAATTTGTTTCTCTCAAAATGGTTGAAATTCCTTTAATGTTTACTAACCCCATACAGTGAGAACCAGAAAGCACTGATATATTAAGACGACTTTTAGACTCAAGTTATAATTTCAAATAGTCCAAGAACCATGAGTCAGGCATTTACTTATTCAAAACAGAATCTATGGATGAAAGTCACAAGAAAATAAGTTTCTAGAAAAAAATGGAATCTATGTAAGAAAGTCACAGGAAAATATGTTTCTGGGAAAAAAACCTGGAAAAAAAACTTTGGCATAATGAAGTCCTAATTTGCTGAAGTCCTTTTCTGTCAAATTAATTCACACAAATTTGTTTATAACTTGGTACCGTCCCATTTTGCCTTATTTGGTCTGAATGTGAACTGTTGAGTGTAAAGCTTGCTCCAGATGCTTTAATGTCGGCACGGTACTTGAAATGAACCAGAGTTTACAGTAAATAAATCGTCATTTCATGAGAAATAAAATGTTTGATAGTTTCACGCCCGGAGAAGACGACATTCTTCCCTCCCCATTTGTTTCCTCTACTAGTCCAGGGAGCAATAATTCTCTATCTCAGGGTAGGGCTGGCGAACTTTCTGCCAGTTTCTGAAACTTAACGGAAAATAATTGCTAAACTGAAAAAAAATTTTATCTTTAACGAAACAAAAAGAGGCGTTTAAAAAAAATATATCTAGCCATTAACACTGTTAAAAAACGAATCGTTAACGAACAATAACTTGATTTACGAAGGGTAAATGTTCAGCTATTCCTACAAATGAACGGCTACTTGATGAGCCTGTCTGTTCCGTTAATTGTGAACCAACTGATTAAAATTAGTTGTTCACAATTACACTTTACATTTTACAGATAAGTTCATGAAATTTGACTTCAACCTAAGACTGTGGTTAAGTAAATTTTAATTTTACAAGGAAAAAAATTAACACAATTTTATCGGATCTTTTTAGATAAAAATGCGCGATATTTTTTACGAAAACTTTGCAGAGCGGGATATTATTTTACTTAATTACCCCAACGAGTTACAATTTTGTATCTCGTTGGGGGAATAATAGGTTGTTGATTTTATGGCGGTAAAAGTTTGATTGTACCCAGCCCTAAAACTCCAGGTGGAACCAACCTAATGGATTACAGATCCGTCTCCCTCGGAGATTATCTAACCTCAGATGATGAATCTATTCACCTCAGTCCTTTATCTCATCAACGTGTTCATCCGTACAAAGTGGAAACTGTAACGCGGGGTCGAAAGAAGACGACATTTGACAGAAACTCTTCAATTTCGTCAGATGTTGAGCAAGAGCAGATTGAATCAGTAATATTTCCTAGTTCTCTAGTTCCCGATTTAGAAGGAGGGATGAAAGATGATGTTCTCCATGAAATAGAAAGTTTACTGAACAATCAGAAAGAACATGAAAATTTGACATTTTCTGACTTGGATACAAATAAATTGAACATGAAAACTATGATCGGTAAACCTGAATTAAACTTAGCTTCTGAAGTTTCAGTCCCCGGAACTGCTGGATATGTAAAATGTATTCCTTCAAATAACATTGATGACACTGATTACACAAGCATTGATGAAGCAGCCTTAAACGGATTATCTTCTCATGTGATTCCGGTCACCGCTGATGCTAAAAATGTCAGTTCTTTTCAAATAAGAGAATATGGAACAACACAGAACTTATTTAATAACGAGAAAATGAAACATCACAGCACTGAACATCCAACAATTTTTCCAACTGACTTCTATCGAGTCACATTGAAGTCCCCCAATATTGGTTCTAGTCTTCCTAATCGTTCCAACCCAGCTGATATGGGGGTCAGCGATACTTTTCAACTTGATTTGGGTCTTGCCAATACTTCTGAAATTAAAATGGAATTCAGTAATACATTAAATCCTGATTTAGGCTCGGGATTTGACAACATCTCCATTTCTAACATGGAAGTCAGTGATTCTTTAAATTCTTACTTACATTACCGTGAAACGGGACTTAGCAATAATTTGGGATTCAGCAATGCCTCTGAATCTGACTTGGGATTCAGCGTTACTTCTGAACTTGATTTGGGATTTAGCAATGCCTCTGAACCTGTCTTGGGATTCAGAAATATAACCGAATCTGTCTTGGGATTTGGGAATACCTCTACAGATGACATGGGTTTCAGAAAAACACTGAAATCCGAATTTGAATATCATGAGACAACTAATTCTATAATTGAATGCAGCCACACTTCCAAACCAAACTTGGGATTCAGTAATTTATCCAACATTGAATTGGGAATGAAAGACACCTCTGTATCCCAACTAGAATACTGCAGTACTACTAAACATGATCGTGGGTTTACCTTTACATCGAAACCCAACTTTGGGATGACCGACAAGGTTGGTCAGGGTCAGGATGAGGAGACAAAACTCAGATACCTATCCACAGTGTGTCCAACAAACAGCAAACAGGTAATTTTAAAATACAGGGATTGAAAAAAGAAAATTAAAAAACTGAGAAATAAAAATCTTCTTCAAAATTCTTGTTCCCAGCAGTATATATATAATTAAGAATGTTAAAGGGAGCAGTTTATCAGAATATATGATGTGTGCAGTTCAATAAGTTTTGTAAAATATTTGTTAAAGGCACTTTAATCCTATTTCAACCCTGTATTTTTTTTCAAAGCTCACTGAATCCATCCTGGTTAACTGATTTTTCTCATCAAGTTTTCTATTTCTATAGCTATGTTATCAGTGGTTGTTTAGCTCCGTTGTCACAGCACGGAAATGTTTTAAATACCAACCAGGCAAAAAGGACACTTGGAAGTTGGGATGCTCGATACACAAAAAATTCGTGCCAAAACTTTCCAAATATAAAGCAGACACCTATGACATGATCCAAAATACATCAGAGGATAATGATATGGACAAGGCAATAGTCTCCAAGCGGACTAAATTGATGATTTTTGATGAGTTTGACATCTGCTGTAGTGCTGCTAACAAAGTTGTAAAGCAAGTTTTGAAAAATGGCAAAGATTTGGACACCATTAGCTCCAAAGAGGTTCTAAGAAAATATACTAAGGAATTGAGTATTTGCCACAAACTCTGATTTTCTAATCCCTATATCTTTTCAACCCAATGTAAACCATAGATGTTTCAAACTATGAATTTTGTTTGATCAAATAATTTAAGTTTGAAATACCAAACATTTACACCATCAGGTTGTTTAGATATAGGGATTTAAAAATTTAAGTTTGTAGCAAAGACTCAATTCTTTTGTTTGCTAAAATGTAGATGACAACTTAAAAAATCTTCAAGGATCCTTTCTACAATAAAGACTTAGCCTCCTTTGACTTTCTAGAGTTACCCAACCTCTATAGAACATGCTACACACAGGTCTGCTGCTTTAGTAGTTGTAAATTGGCGGTACAGTCCAAACTAGGAGCGCAAAGGTTGGCCCATCTCGGATATTCAAATGTACTCATGGTTGTGCGTGGCTGAAATGGATAAAGTTTAAGTCTGTAGAAAGATATTTAGGCCGTTACAAGTATCATTAACGGGAACCCTGAGAAAGCTCAATATATATATGATATCTGATCGACATTAGGAGGTCAGATATTAAACTGGTGAAAATATAGTGAACAGTGAACTTTTTAAAAATTTAAAGGGCTGGAGACGTCTAGAAGTTTACCATTAAAAATTTAAAGGGCTGGAGACGTCTAGAAGTTTACCTTTAAGAATTAAAAGGGCTGGAGACGTCTAGAAGTTTATCTTTAAGAATTTAAAGGGCTGGAGACGTCTAGAAGTTTACCTTTAAGAATTAAAAGGGCTGGAGACGTCTAGAAGTTTATCTTTAAGAATTTAAAGGGCTGGAGACGTCTAGAAGTTTACCTTTAAAAATTTAAAGGGCTGGAGACGTCTAGAAGTTTACCATTAAAAATTTAAAGGGCTGGAGACGTCTAGAAGTTTACCATTAAAAATTTAAAGGGCTGGAGACGTCTAGAAGTTTACCTTTAAGAATTTAAAGGGCTGGAGACGTCTAGAAGTTTATCTTTAAGAATTTTCTATGAAACAAAGCTTCTTAAAGAAAAAAGAAATTTGGGGGGCTCATCGAGTTTTAAATCTCCTCTGGGGATTCTTTAAATTCTACATTGCACTCAACTCAACAAAACTAATAAAAATATTTGGCTATTTCCTTAATCAGAGTCGATCAGAATTATCACTCTTTTATTATCAAAGTCATATTGTAGATTGTTTTTTATCTCTTAAAAGGGACTGTAAGCATAATTTCAAGTGACCTTTGCATACATATGCCCGACTCTTACTACTCTGATCCAAAATGTGGATGATAATGTTGTTTTTCCGACTTAAAAAGTTTTAATTTCTATGAAATTCTCTATTACTTCTTAAAAGAAAAAAATCGCAAGTCACTTTAGCAAAGAAACCGAAATGGAAATAGAAACAAAAAAGTCAAAGCAATTAAACCGGGTGCTCACATGTCTGTGCACACCATGTAACAATTCTTGTTGTACTTTTCTGTACTACACTCTTGTTTTCCAATGTTCTTTCTTGTGCTTCAATGTTCCATCATGTTCTTGGTTAAATTTTCAAAAAGAAGACACCCTGTTCCTACACTCTTTATGTGCTTTATTTTTCAGACTAGGCATGTCTTGGTTTTATATGTCGCTTTCCTTTTTGCAGTTATCCTGACTCATCACAGTTACTTACACTGTTTTAAATGAGAAGGGAGGACCAGGTGGGTGAAGGTTTCTGCAATTATATTCTAAGCTAGTTCTCAAATAAATATAGGCCTGCCAGCATGCATACGTTGAAGTATGGATAGTTTGGAGGAGTTGGAAGTTTGAAATAGGATTGGAAGAGGCGTTTGCTGAAAAAAAAGCCTACTTTTCAATTTATAGTCATTTCCGACTTGTGTGGAATTGATAAACTCATAGTATTTTGCGCCACATTATGCATGTTAGGAGTACACATATCCTTTTTATGCCCAACTCTGGATAAGATCTTTCCTAGCAATCCACTCTTAAGTGCAGGATAAGTTCAGTTCCATTTTTAAGAGCAGGATAAGTAAAAAACCGATCAGTGTGTACTTCATCCCTGATTTTTGAGTTTCTGTATTCCTTTAGTCCCGCATTCCACTCAGCGCTTAAACTAGACCCAATCCTGGGATCGCTCTCATTCCTGCTCTCAGCTCCGTTTCACAAAGAAGGAACTTTGGAGAACCTCTCCTATGAGCGAGAAGGATACCGTTGTAAATCAGCTTTGCCATTTTTGCATGGAGGATCACTTGAAATTACGCTTGCAGTCCCTTTAATTATATCAGGATAATATGCATTCTAGAATCTCATTCTAAAGCTCTAGAACTAATTAAAAATTTTAAGACCCTGATATGATATTCATGAATATCAGTAGTAACACACAATATTGTAATTAGTGTGGATTGAGAAGAGACGAGGATGAGTATACAGAAAGGATGATTTACCAGTATATGGCTCAATATCAGAGCAAGTATGAAAAGTTTACTGCTAATCAACCACTTTCCCTCACAGGTATACATCCCTGAGTGACAACCTCTGTATAATTTGTGCGTTAACATTACGGGGTTTTACGTGTAATTACAAGTTAACAATGTAGCATCCGTCAGACATTATGAAAATTATACCAAATATTGAGACCAGATCAACTTGACTTTTCCAACCAAATTGTATTTGTTGCCCTTGGTTTGCATGAGAATGCCCATACTCTAGCAAGGGGGGGGGGAGGCAAGCAGCACCCGTATAGCCTCCATCCTGCAATTTACTCACAAACATAGAATTGCGGCAACGGGCTCACCCGTAACGCTTTCTAGCCGCACCCATATCTCCTCCAGCAAAATGTCTTGCGATTGTCTCGTAAATATAATATTTTGTACATTCCTGCCGATGTTGGTCTTCTCTGAAAATGTTTTTGAGGGAAGAGAGAAATTCAATTTTATATGAAATAACACGAATTGGCGTGAAATTAGGTTTAAATATATCTAAATCCATCTTTCTATCTATCTACTGATCTGATTTTAGATAATTTAAAACCGCATTGCACGCTAAACTGTGCTATTTTTGGTAAAGATTGAATTTCTCCTTAACTTCAAAAAAAAAATTAAGAGAAGATCAACATCAGCAGACATGTACAAAGTATTACATTTTAGAAGGGAATCTCAATAAATCATAGTTTTTAACAAAAAATTAACATCTAATGCTCCAGTGAGCGAGAATGTTTACTCATATTACCAAAAAAATATGATTAATATGTTTAGGTTATAATAGATCCCATGTCACCTTTAAAATCTTAAACTAATGCTTTATTTCTATATATAAAGCAGGGGCAAAGTTGGGGGGCCGGTACCCATGTGCAACCCCGTAGAAATGCACCCCCTAGATCCAGAGGCAGGCTCTAATATATCAAACTTACATATATATTCAGATTTTTATCTTTTCTTATCAATTGACAATGTCATAATTTGTCCATTTTATGATAATTTCTCAAATTTTTTCTTGTACCTAATTAGTCCTTAATCTTATTTACAATAATTTTTTCTTGTACCTAATTAGTCCTTAATCTTATTTACAATAATATTTTCTTGTACCTAATTAGTCCTTAATCTTATTTACAATAATTTTTTCGCGGGGTTTCATTTAACTCCATTTTATTCTCTCAGAGCAAGATGTTTGACGCAGCGTTTTATTAAGCTTTAAATAATACTATCTCCAGTGTAATCTAGTCATAGATATGATTGATATTGACATGATTTATGATATATATATATTTTGGCTCTTTTACTACTAGATTTTATAATGGTATGATTGCAGGTAATTATGGTCAAATGACTAAAAGTGAGGTAGATTAATGTAGATTTTAAGTTTTAATTTTTTTTATTAATTCGTTTTTATAGCTCTCAATGTTTTTAACTACTTAAACTCGTCATTGCCAGTTATAAAAAGGCCTAAGCAACGCATTTCAAATTTTAAGTGTTCCCCTTATTTTTAATCATAATTTTTATTGAAATAATAGATTTTTTAATGGAAATATATTTAGAGGAGACAGAACCATCAGAGGGGGCTGAAGAACAATTTAATATAGGGAAAAAAACACTAAATTAAAAAAAAAAATTTGCTGTATTAATTTTTACCGAAAAACATTATTATCTATCTTGGAAGAAATCTTATTTTTATAAAAAATATTTAATTTAACAAAGAATTAAAAGCTGTTTTTTTGTTAAGATGAGAATGAACTTTTAAAGATAGTTCTAAATATAGATCTAGTAAAGGCCCTGGAACTCTACACTGTAGAAGAAACAAAATACCTAGGTAGAATTCTGTACAATTCAAAAAATTAAAAAAAAAACAATAAACAGACTCAAACTTCATGGTAATTCAATTACAAAATTTGAGAAACTATCTTTAAAAGAAAGGGCCAAGGCTAATGAATCTGTTTAATAAAGTCACTGTTATGAGAGTTTCTGGAAAAAAACATGGAAATCAAAACTTTGGTAAAAAAGTCCCAATTTTCTGAAGTCCTAGGACAAAATGTCACTGGAAATAAAGTCCTGAGTTTTGATTTCCTGAGGCTTTTTTTCCTAAAATAATATGGGGGCTGTCAATAAAGTCTCAGGAAATAAGATCAAAGGAATTAGAGTACTGAAAAAAATAAATCAGAAGAAAAACAATACCAAGAAAAAAAGTCTTGGGAACATGAGGTTAAGTCTGAGAAGTTTTCATAAAAAGGACTTTCTCTTCTGCATCAACTTATTGAATATAGCCCGAGGTGTTTTTAGTATCAAGGCCCTTTTTTCCATGGTTGTAAACATCCTTTGTTCTTATGCATTTTCCACTTCAAGAGGACTTTTTCCGGGGACTTTTTTGTATAAAATCATACTGGAACCTGAGAAAAAGTCAGAAAAAAATAAAGCCTCAAAATGGTAGGACTTTATTTCTAGAGATTTTTTATGTCTGCAGGGACTTTTTTCCACAGGACTTTTTTAGTGCCAAAATTTAGGACTTCATTTCCGAAAAAAAAATTTTCAAAGAACGTTTTTTGGCGGTTACCAAGGCGAACACAGTATAAGACCAATCATTATTGCTCAGAGCTGGAATAATTTATCGATAAGACCTTTAAAAAAATGCTCAACCGACCCAAATACTTACTTGAAATGGTACTAGGCAAAGTTAATTAATTCAAATGTTCATATTTTTTCATCCTTTCTCCATCAGCGCGTCCGCAAGTTCTCTTCTTGTTTGCCCGTCCATTGTTGGCGCTGTTTTTTGAAAGGATGTTTTTGAGTCGCTGTCTTAGCGCCATTTCCAAGATGAGTGTCCTGTTTTGTATAATCTATGATATATTAAAGAGAACCGAGCACAACTGTTCTGGAACCGATGGTCTAACTTCAGTATGGGTCCTCAGGTTCTAGGATACTACATGGACTGGTTGAAGAGAGGAGGAAAGATGTGTCCATCCTTCTATCTTCAGAGCAGTAGACAAATCAGATCCAGGCTCATAGGTAGGAGGACCAGGGATAGACGATAGAGTGGACCAGTGATAGGTTGGGCTAGGGATTGGGTGGACAAGGGATAGGGTGGCCCAGGGATAGTGTGGACCAGTGATAAGGTGGGCTAGGGCTAGGGTGGACCAGGGATAGGATGGACCAGAGATAAGGTGGTCTAGGGATAGGATGGACCAGGGATAGGATGGACCAGTGATAAGGTGGGCTAGGGATAGGAATAGGATGGACCAGAGATAAGGTGGTCTAGGGATAGGATGGACCAGGGATAGGATGGACCAGAGATAAGGTGGTCTAGGGATAGGATGGACCAGGGATAGGATGGACCAGTGATAAGGTGGGCTAGGGATAGGGTAAACCAGGGATAGGATGGACCAGTGAAAAGGTGGTCTAGGGATAGGATGGACCAGGGATAGGATGGACCAGTGATAAGGTGGTCTAGGGATAGGGTGGACCAGGGATAGGATGGACCAGTGAAAAGGTGGGCTAGGGATAGGATGGACCAGGCATAGGATGGACCAGGGAAAGGGTGAGGATTAGGGATAGGGTGGACCAGGGATAGGGTGGACCAGTGATAGGGTGGACCAGTTATAGGGAGGCCAGGGATAGTGTGGACCAGGATAAGGGGACCATGGATAAGATGGAACAGGGATAGGGGACCTGGGATAGGGTGAACCAGGGATTGGACTGATTAGGGTTAAGGTGAGCCAGGAATAGGCGAGATATAGGGATAGGATGGACAAAGAATAGGATGGACCTTGATACACATGATAAGATCTGTTTATTTTCAGCATTTATGTTGGAATATGGAGAAGGATCAAGACTCTCAGAAGCAGATATTGTCACTCTTCTTAGGTAATTAAATGGGTGGATTGGAAGCAAATTTTCAGTTTAATATTATCTTAGTAATTGGAGGCACTCACAAGGTTTGGAGGCAATTCTTTTAACACTTATGTCTCCAATAAATATTCACAAAAGTTTGGAGTCAATTCACGCTTGTGACATTTGAAATTAATATTTTCGGAGGTTTGGACACAAATATTGTAACACTTTCATCTCAGATGAATATTCTCTAAGATTAGGAGGCAATTTTTAAAGCACTTATATGATAAATATTATTTGAAGAGCATAAGTAAAAAGATATTAGATGATCGGAGGCAGAGGAATATTCTTTCTGTAACAAAGTTGGAGGCGCAAATTTCTTTAAAAGATTGATTGCTTATCTGTAATAAATCTTATTGTTTTAACGGAACTAAAGTTTTAATTTCAAGTTACTCTTCTTTAAAAATATTTGCAAGTCACTTTTAACAACCGCAATTGAAAATAATCCATTCTTAGATAAAACAAGGATATTTCATTCGTATTTGACCAGAAAAGACTTTTAAGGTTAACACTGTGAATCGTTGATGGTAAATAGTAAGTCACTTAAAACATTGTCTGTGCAGTCCATTTAAGTAAAGCAAATGATGGTCGTAGAGACAGTTAAAAACTCTTTCTCAAATAGATTATCAAGTACACTAGGTGGCAACAGAAAAATTAACCAAATTTGCACGACGTCACAAGTCAATGAAAATGACATTTTCTTATAAATCAGCTGACATGTTTTCCAAGATTAAATAAAAAAGTTTAAAAACAGAAAATAAAGAAAATATAAAATTGCGCTTATTTTACTGTAAGAAAAGGACTTTATTTTTAAATTATCACTATTATGATTTTGTCGGACACAAAAACTAAGTTGACACTTGTGATGTCAGAATACACTGAGAGGTTACACATTCTACGTTGCCATCTTTTGCTCTTTTTTCAAACAAATTATAAAAAGATTTGATGCCGACATGGATTTTTAAACTTTTTAAATTTCATATCTATAATTTATTTGTTTTTATAAAGATTGTAGACATGAATTCCTTATTTTTTTTATATTTTTTATTTATGATTTTATTTGTTTTCATGCCGATTGTAGACGTGATTATTTAATTTTTTAAATATTTTATTTATGATTTATTTGTTTTAATGCAGATTGTAGACATGATTTTTTAAATGTTTTAAATATTCTATTTCTATACTTCATTTGTTCAGGGAGAATGTTGTATCAGGATCATCTCTGTTCAAACTGTGGAATTTCACACATGAAGATGAAGAACAGTGCAAATACACACTTGGTAGTATAATTACTCCTTCTTTGCAGGGACAATATCCCCCCCCCGGTACTGGAATTTTTCAAAAATCGAAAGAGTGTAATAAAAGCAAATGTTTAGAATTAACAATAATTCTAGATTTTAAAAACTTCTCAGATTTATGTTGAGCCTTGCAAACAAATTAACCAAGCTACAGGATTACCAGCAAAGGATGAGACTTCACAGACGACTGTACGGAATTTATACTGTCTTTTATATTCACGATTCCCTTGCAACAGTAAACTTGTTTCTTTTTTGGCTAAATAATTTGATACGCCAATTAAAGAAGATTTAATTTCACCTTCGAATCGACACATTTTTAAGAGTTTTAGATCTTTTTTAACAGTCTCATTCTTTATGGGTAACCTTGTATGTCCCATTCCATTTCTGAATATTAATCCTTATGAATATCATGACAACATTCTGAAATTTTCTTATTTACTCCGCCAGGAGTTCTGAAAATAATTATAACATAAACATAAACGTCAGACCACACAGACTGCTCATACGTACACTATACCTGGATAGACTGAGCAGGCCTATAGTGTCCCGGCACGCCATGCTACGGTTCCATGTAATGTTTTTTGACTGACATCTTACGGCCACTTGTTGCATTCAGGGGTTAAGTCTTACAACTTTTAAAGAAATACTCCAATTTTAAACATAAAACATAACGTTTATGAATATTGTCTATTTTAAAAGATTTTGAATTTCCTATTCAAAGGATCCTTAAATATCCCTGAATACAGATGTCTCCTGATTGGTCATGTACAGTACTTGTACGCAATACAACATGCTGTGGAAAATATCGCATATTATAGGTGTTAATCGATCTTTGTATCTCTCTTATCTCTGACAAAAACATGAACATCACTACTTCTAAAGTTCCAGCATTACATCATCATTGAATTCAATTTTGGAAAGAAAAAAAAACTTTCTTCTAGTTTTTATAGAGAGCAAGAGTCCAAGTTATAATTCTAAAATAAGTAGCAACGAATTACTTGGAATTACTTGGAATTAGTTGGAATTTCTTGGAATTACTTGGAATTACTTGGAATTACTTGGAATTACTTGGAATTACTTGGAATTACTTGGAATTACTTGGATTTACTTGGAATTACTCTCATATCTTTGAAGACATAAAAGAATAAATATGAAAGAGAATATCAAATAAAAAAGCCTCTAGCCCCCCATCCCCACCCCTGTATCAGGCAACATAAAAATTTGTTCTAAATATGCTATAAATATGTTTTTTTAAATGATTGAAACAAATATATATATATTTCATATGATTGGAATTGAGTTTGAAAGAAAGCAGGTACAACCTTACAGGGTTACCTGCACAAAGGATGATATTTTGTAATTTGTTGATGGCCAAAAAAATTCCTTAAATTTAGACGATTTGATTTAGATTGAAATTGGTATTCTGTCTTTAAAGGAAAATTTATCATTTGCAAAAAAAGTCAAATTCTTTATTTTCAATTAAAAGCGAAAAAGTAAGTAGATCAAATTTCATAGCTTCGTAAAGCCGCAAATAACCAAGACTGAAAAGTGATTAACTAAAGTTGTCTTTTAGTCTCACTCTTTGTGAAACCCCCTGTATTTAAAGTGATATTCCATTCAAGAATCTGATTTACATTGGTTGCCTTTAACCCTATTTTAAAGCTTCAATGAGGAAGATTTCGTATTTTTTCTATCTTTAAAAGGTGTTATTCTCAGTGCAACACACATCCGAAAACCACATAAAGAGCATCTGCATAACCGCAAATATAATTATCTACATGCAATTCTTTAAATAGAGGACCACTCGAAAACAATTCATTAAATACAGATACTTTATAATTGGAGGATTAGATGAAATTCAAATCAAATCAAATCAAATATATAGATTTGTCCCAAGCCAAAAACATAGAAAATATCATATTTTAAAACATATTTATAAACTTGAGACGGGGAGGCATTGATAGCCAGGGGCTGTTTAACACGCCGCGCAGCCTCCCACTGGAGAGTCAGTTTTTGTACAGTCCCTTTAAAGATGAAAACGAGTCGATTGTTCTAGGTGCGGATGATGTCAGCTGGTGGACCGAACACAACATGTCACCAAGGTAATAATTATACAGGGTGTCCCAATAACCGTACCACCATGGTAATAATTATACAGGTTGTCCCAATAACCATGTCACCAAGGTTACAAGTATAGAGGGTACGTCACCAAGGTAATAATTATACAGGGTACGTCGCCAAGGTAGCAATTATAGAGGGTACGTCACCAAGGTAATAATTATACAGGGTACGTCACCAAGGTAATAATTATACAGGGTACGTCACCAAGGTAACAATTATACAGGGTACGTCACCAAGGTAACAATTATAAAGGGTGTCACCAAGGTAACAGTTATACAGGGTGTCATCAAGGTAATAATTATAAAGGGTACGTCACCTAGGTAACAGTTATACAGGGTGTCACCAAGGTAACAATTATACAGGGTGTCTAAATAAAACTTTATTTTTGTCCAGGCCCCCAGATATATCTCCAATTTCAAAGATTAAATAAAGATAAACCATATTTTGGAAACCCCCATTTTGGATACCAAAGAATCTCCTCTTAAAGGTTGTTCCTTAATAATGATGTTTATAAGGACACCCTGATATTCTAGGTATCTGCTACCTATCTGGAACCTGAAGTCTATGATAGAACTGATGCCCTTCTCCCCCCTCATGAGAACTGGGTTGCTCAAGGTCCTAAACAGGCACAAGAAGGACTTCTTTAGAAGCCCAAAGGTATGTTTATTTTTTTGAACAAATGTTTTCTTTGATAAAGAAACTAATTATTCACCGTTACACTGTTCTAGATATCCTATCCTTACTCTTTCTAGCTTCCGCCAAATAGCGCCGGACACTCTCAAATCCGAATTGAGAAGGTCTAGTGCTATACCTTTTAAGCACTGGTGATACTGCTTACACACTCTCATCTGACTAGTGTACACCTCAATGTAGTGCAGATCTGTAATCTTTTAAATCTTATTTATTCGAATTGTTTAAACTTTTGCTATTTCAAACTTTGCCTTTTTAATCTAACATTTATAATTTGAAATATCAACTAGGTCCACGACATTAGTCGGAAAAGGTTTAATCAGTTCTCTTAGAGTGTTTCTTATTGAATCCCTAAAGCTATAAACCATGTCCCTTTGTGCTCTTGAAAACTTGAAAGCTGCGTAGAATGAAGGTTTAAACCTCATATTTTGCGCATTAAATTAAATTTCTCTGTTTTAGACCTTTTTGTTGTCTGAATTTATCAAACTTTGTTTTTGAATCCATGCTTTTAAAATTGTAGGTGTACTTCTTAATGGTGGCTGTTGTACTTTATAACCCTGAGACCCCTGGGTTGGAGAATAAAGAGGAAGTTCACAAAATCAGAGAAGAGTTTATCACCATTCTTAGGTAAACATTACTTATCTGGATAACTGACAGTAGGATCCATACAACTAGAATTTGAAACCGATATTTTTGCAATTTTGTGCGTATTTTATTGTGTTATAAAGCTAATGGTTTAACAGAAACTTGAAAAATATCTCATTTTTCAGTGGAACCGAAAAACAATGCAATATGGATATGACATTATAGCAATGTAATTAAGTGCAAATAGTTTTACTTCAGATTTTTATGAAATCAATATTTAAGTGAAATGAGCCTGTTTACACTGCTGCTCAATTGCTGATATTATGTTCATTGGACTATTTAAAGTCAGAACTTAAGTATAAAAGTCGTCTTCCCATTTCAGAGTGTTTTGGTTTCACTTCAAGTGTATACTACACACTTTAGTCTATCACTTGTCTTCCTTTTCTACAGTTTTATGGGCCCGCTTTATAACATGTTAAATACTATCATTGAATATTGAACATTCATAAAAATTAATTTTTATTCAGGAGATATTTAGCTCAGAATTGTGAACTGTCCGCTAGTGAGAGCATGAAGGCTGTATTTGATTGTATAGGATCCATCCCAGCCATCAGATCCTACTTCAGTGTAGTCTGGAACAAATCTCAAGATGTGGCACCGGCGCTAGACCCAGTCAACCTGGCGCCTAGCAATAATGTTCTTCAACCTCAGTTTGAGGCGGATCCCTCCTGTGGTGGCGGAGGTTTCAACTGCTGCTCCGCCGGAGGCTGTAAACTATTGAAGAAATACCAGATATAATTCAGGGGACACAAGTTCCAAACAGTGAATTTGTTCTAAACCTGACAATGAGTTTCAGGTCTGTGCCAAATCACGGTTTGGAACTTGCGTCCCATGCAATACAAATGCAATAAATTTCAAAAGAAATCCTGTCAAAATGTTTATTTTTCGCTCCATAAAGAGAAAAATTTGTTCTTACCAAAAGAGAAAATTGGTCAAAAAAATATATTTTAATTTTAAATATATCTTCTTCCCATTAAATCAAAATAAATTTCTAAGCATTTTCAAGATTTCGATATTGTCAGCAGAAAATATGACAAAACATCCCGGTTGATATTGTTTTGATCAAGATATTGTAATTGTATAAAAAAATGTAAAATATGTTAATGTGTTATTTCAAGAAATTCTATAATTCTAGCACTGTTATTAATGTATTTGTATGATAAATAAAAGATTTAAATACCAGGTTTCCAAGGCGCGAAGCGCCCGTCTTTAATCTTAAATTTTAAGTGTTGATATTTTTTTTCGTGGATTTTAATAAATTTTTTTTTGATATTCGTTGAATTAAGATATTAAAGGTGTGCTGTTACACTATCAGCTTGCAAATCCGAGTTTTGTTTGTATGTTTAGTTTGTTTTGTTCTGTGGATTACGTGCATAAAATAAGAACGGCTGTAGGATTCTAATATAGCACGTTAATGGATAATTAACTAAAATCATGATCAAATTAAAGATATAAAATAAACGTTATTGAACAGATTTTGGGAAGAAGAAAAAATGTGTTTATATTAGCTTGGGAACCCAGCAATGCCCAAATTACTCATAATTACTCCCGCCGTTTACCCACACCAGAACAATTTCATCGGGAAACTAAATTTCCGTTTAAGAAGTTAACCCACTCAATTTAGAATCTCAAACCAAGCTAAGAACATTCCCGTGATTCTTCCGAGTTTAAATGGAATAACAATAATATTGGAATAACAATAATATTGGAATAACAATAATATTGGAATTACAATAATATTGGAATAACCCACTAATAAATAGAAATATATATACTGAATACTAGAGCATTAGGGTTTTACTTGCGAGACCTGTAACTCCCGCGCAATTCCGCGCAATTCTGCGCAACGGAATTCCGATTGGAAACCCTAAAGAGCACTATATGGACTATGCAGGGCTAGATGCGTTTGGTTTCTTCGATTTGAATTCAATAGCGAGTTGGTCTTTAATTTAACCATCTTTCTTTGCATTTACAAAGTAGTCTTTTTAAAAATGTTTAAATAAAATACACTAGCCGACAAAAAAACTAAAATTTATTATCAAAAGATGTGAAACTGTGATTGATTGTCACAGTTTTCTGGAACAAAGATTGAACTGTTAAATCTGCGTGATAGAGTTATATTGAGTGTAGGAATATATACGCCTGCTGTATCCGAGGTTTAAGAGAAGAGCAGAGGTTGGAGGAGGGGGAGGAGAGGCGATACAGTCGTGTGGAATACATACACGGATACAGAGCTAACAACTTTTGAACGCAAGGTTAAGTTAAACTCAATGTCTCAAGGAACTGTATACTCTATAGACGTAATTTCAAATAACTATCCATCTATAAAATAGCATATTTGATTCACAACGGTACCCATAACAACTTTGTCTGATAAAGAATCCATACTCAGTCATTTTTTTCAAAATTAATTAACAAGGGTTCTCTAAAAAAGTGATTTGCGGATTTCTACTTCAGATCCCTAAAGCTATAAACCATGTCCCTTTGTGCTCTTGAAAACTTGAAAGCTGCGTAGATCCCCCCCCCGGTACTGGAATTTTTCAAAAATCGAAAGAGTGTAATAAAAGCAAATGTTTAGAATTAACAATAATTCTAGATTTTAAAAACTTCATAGCACTATAAAGCACATGCTGTTAGCTTTGGTTTTTGAGAAGTAGTTGGCTAAACTCTCATCGAGTTTTGCTTGAGAGCGTGAGACCTTTAAATCGCAGTGCCCCCCGTGACCTCCCTGAAAGAACCCAAATAAGACTATTAATAAATAAAAAAAATATCATTTTGTTTTTTCCTGATTTTTTATTAAAAAGAATTCGAAAGAATCATTCCCAATCCCATTTCTCAGAAGCACTCCAAACACAAAAACGCTAGGTCAGCATACTCTTAACAGCTGTGGAATATATATATTCAAGTTCTACACAAGAAAAGAAGATTTTGTTTAGAAAATAAAAATAAAATTTTTCATTTAAAGCATTTATATTGTAATTATGAGTATACAATTTGGACATTTCTTTCGATAAGTAAAAATGAAGAGAACCTTTTATTTTTATCATTTCTTTTTTTTGTTGTGACAAAATATGGAAAAAATTAATTATAAAAAAATTCTTTAATTTGGTATTTTCTAAATGTAGTCTGTCCAAAAAAGTAACTAAAAAAAAGTATTCGATACTTTTGAATCCATGAACATTTTTTTTATCGTCTCTTAAAGGGACTGTCCATATAATTTTAAGCAACTCTCCATTTAAAGAGATTTATGCCAAATTTACAAGATAACCATACAACCTTTATTTGATAAACAATAAGGAACATATCAGCATATCATTTTAAAAATGTCGAATTTTGCAAATTTCCTTCAATTTTCTTTACTGTTTATAAATGATGAAAGTCAATTATAAGAATGATCAATTTTCAGATACAAAAACAAGGACATCTTTAACTTTTTAACTAAGACGAAGGTGTAGACACTGTTGTTAATCGGACAATACAAGATCTTTTCATGGAGGGTCCCTTACAATTAGGTCAATACAGTCCCTTTAGGTCAAGGAACAATATACAGGAACGTCCAACTCAGATATACGCATATTATGTACTGTACACTGTGGGAGGAATGTAAACAAACCCAGTGCCCCCACAGAAGTTGAAGGGAAAGGATGACAGCTCTGATGTGATATTAAAGTCCAACAAAAAACAAGTTAACATATCAAGTTAGAGCGAATACTTGGGCCCTTTTCCCTCAAAAATGATGCGTTGCCCCTGAATTCTTTGTTTTCATCTCCTCCCACTGCAGTACACAGATTTGACGCATGAGATATGGCGGTTCCTGGTCCACATATTTCTTGCTTTAGGCAACATTTCTCTAATCATAATTTTCTGGTTTTCATTCAGAAAATCAAAATGCCCTTTCGTCCAGCCACCAGCTTACTAGTGCACCGAGGGTATGGGAAACGAAGAGAAGACGACCTTTCCAAAGGTAACTAAAGGGATTATAAATGCTGCAACCTTCTTGCTGTTCCTCTTTAAAATATATCTGCTTTTTAGCTGATCTTCCGTTCGTTTCATGCTTGTTGCTGATTATATTATCTTTTGGCGCTTTTTGAAAATAAAATATTTGGTCAAAATCAGTGTCTCTACCCTATTTGAAAATCAAAGTTAAAAAATCAATTCACATTAAAATATTGAATGATTAATGAGTTTGCGCACTAACAAATTGTAAAATATGTAGTGTACCATATTTAATATATAAAAAAACGCCAAATTTTTGAAGAACTGAACTCCGCGGTATTCCAGTTTTGAAATCCTAATTTGCAAGAAACACCATGTTGTTCATGGTATAATATTAAATACTATATTCCAGAAATCCTTATTTACAGCATTCCAGGATGCGGATAAAAAAAATGTTATTTTTATGGCATTCCATGATGCAGATAACCCCCTTATTTTCAGCATTCCATGATGCGTTTAAAAACCCTTATTTTTAGCATTCCATGATACGGATAAAACCCTTATTTTTAGCATTCCATGATTTAGATAAAAATTCTTTTTTTCAGCATTTCATGATGCGGATAAAACCCTTATTTTCAGCATTCCATGATGCGGATAAAACCCTTATTTTCAGCATTCCATGATGCGGATAAAACCCTTATTTTCAGCATTCCATGATGCGGATAAAAAAAAATTTCAGCATTCCATGATGCGGATAGAAACTCTTATTTTTAGCATTCCATGATTTAGATAAAAATTCTTTTTTTCAGCATTCCATGATGCGGATAAAAATCACGATGGGTTTCTCTCAGTGGAGGAATATGTAAAAGTATTTAAGGTGAAAATTTATCAATCAAATACTAAAAATCTACAGTGATCGGTGTTTTATATCAATACAATAAAGACTCCTTTTATTTAGGTTTTGATTGTTAACAAGCTTTTTTCGAATTACAAGTTCACAAGTAATCAAAAGAAAAGACGATATTTGATAGGTTTCCTTTGTTTTTAGTTTACATGTGTATCCATGCGGTAAAAAAGCTTGTTATAGAAGTCAAAATTGAAATTGAAATCGGAAGCAGTTCTTATTATATTGATAATCACGACGACAACTGTGAATAAATATGGTATTATGTGTTCCGGACATCTTAAGTATTAGTTAGTTTGCCTTAGAGAGATGAAACATGTTATGATATCTGGACATTATTTAGCTCTTTTTAGTTTAGAATTGAGAGATGGTTTTATTACACATACTAGCCAGGGAACCCCAGGGGGGATGATAGTTCTCTACCTGTGTGCTCAGTTAGCTGTGCTGTACACTTACAACGGTTTACTAATATTGATATACTTTAGGTTAGGCCAGAATCAACTTACAATAAACAAATATGCAGTACGCTCTCGGTATAGTATATGGCCTATAAAATTAGTAAAGGATTAGCGTACATCTTCACTCTATACACTATAACCTCGTTGGGGAACTCTGCGTTGCTCAGGGTACTCATAGTTACTCTTGCCATTTACCCGCACTTGGTCTTAAATTACGATTTTAACTGTTTTTCCCATGTACCCACTCAACTTAGAATCTCAAAACAAAGCTGAGAACATTTACGTCGTTCTCCCGAGTTCTTCAATCAAAGTTTGATGCAAATCGGTCCAGGGGTTCATGAGTTATGATTGTAGATACAAACAAAAAAAGCACTACTTTAAATATATAGATTCAGGACATGTTTAGTTATAGTTAGTTCAGCGTAACTCTATTATTTATACACTCTACCGTCATCAGTTTTCATTCAAAGACTTAGATCTCTTGCCAAACAAACTTTTTCCTTTAAAACCTCCGATCCAAAACAAGTTAGAGAATATATTGTAAAATCCAAAACAAGTCAGAGAATATATTGTAAAATCCAAAACAAGTTAGAGAATATATTGTAAAGTCCAAAATAAGTTAGTGAATATATTGTAAAATCCAAAACAAGTTGGAGAATATATTGTAAAATCCAAAATAAGTTAGTGAATATATTGTAAAATCCAAAACAAGTTAGAGAATATATTGTAAAATTCCAAATAAGTTTGAGAATATACTGTAAAATCCAAAGCAAGTTAGAGAATATATTGTAAAATCCAAAATAAGTTAGAGAATATATTGTAAAATCCAAAACAAGTTAGAGAATATATTGTAAAATCCAAAACAAGTTAGAGAATATATTGTA